ATACGAGTTTTTGACGAAAAACATCTCTGAAGTATACATAAAACTTAATTTACATCCTTAAAGTATCCCATAAACAATGAACATAATTAATATTTTTAGAAAGTGAACAACTCTCAAACATTAGTTTAGTCAACCACTCTCACAAAATCAACGTCATATTTTAAAAATCAGAAAACTTGTACATGAAAATTCAAAATTAAACTTCCCTCAAAACATCATTATTCTTTATATCAAACCCCAAATATCTCCACCCGGAAGCAGCGGCGGAGCTAGTCTATGGAATACGGGTTCGGCTGAACACAATAGCTTTAATTCAAACCTTATATTTGTCTTAATAAACTCGCTCAATATATAATTTAGAATCCAATCACTTCAAAAAACTAAAATCCCAATTCTATAAGCTTAAAATCCTAACTTTGTCTCTACTTGGAAATAGTGTTGTGCCACCTCTCCACCACCAACAAAAGGGACTATAGTTTGGTGGTGAACGTGACGAATGATTTTTGCTTGATCACTTCTAGAAAACGTTACGAATGATTTTTACTTGATCACTTCTAGAAAACGTTACGAATGATTTTTGCTCCAGAGATTACTTCATTACAAGTTATGTATACATTCCAAAAGGATGTTTTTGGACAAAAACTCAAAGTCAATACTTGTAAATCTTTTGTTTTCCTTTTTCATTCTAATTGAGTCATTTCAATAAAGACTATTAGTTTGCACCCCGTGTTTATACCAAATCAAGTACCTTAAGCTTAATAGTTAAAAGCAATTAATCATCGTTGACTACACACACAAAAAAAAGTTTCATAATTGGCTAATATAACGAAAATTTTCGAAACATACACACAAGAATGCTTGTATATAGTAATTTTTTTTGTATTTCTCTTTTTAATCTAATCAAGTCGTTTAACGAAGACGTGCACTGCATGTATTGTTCCTCAGTCGAATCAAACTACTAGATTATTAGCCTGTTCAGCCAAACTTTTGAAAGGTCAGCTAGTCTTGATTAATGACTAGTATTGTTGAAAATTCTTGTATAATCCGTCAAATTAACTCTACAAACATGTCGCAATCACCAAGGTTTTGTATTTGTCTTTAACCATTTCAAGCAACTTATATAACAGCGTACAATTTAGCAAATCAGAATTGGTTTTCTGTTATTTTGACTTTGCTCTTTATTCAGAAATCAAAATCATGGTGACAACATAATTAGAGTATACGTAGTTCAGAAGGAAGTAACACAGTAATTTGATTCCAGCTGGTGGCTCAGCAAGTTAACAAACTCACAGTTCCAACTTCCAAGAAAAATCTCAAAACTACTCTCAGACAAGTACCTTCATTCTAACGGCAATTTCCATTTCAAAATCACATTTTTCTCATAGTTAAGTTCAGCTCAAAAAGAAAGTAATAAAGGATCAAGTCGAGGAGTCACTGCAGCCTAATGAGTTCGAGAAGAATCTTTATCTAACCAATCCTACAGTAGAAAGATGCAAATTAGCAACTGAAAGAAGCAATCTGAACACAAATCATGAGTATTGGAAGACCAAATGTAGATCCAAAACCAGTGCATTTAACCTGGGAAAGTTTTTAGCAACAAGCTATAAAATAAAGAGAGAATTTATCAGTAGCCTACAGAAGAAGGCTACCTTTAACCATATGGACGATGGAAAACTTAAGGCAAAAGGTCCTCAACACCAGACAATTTTCGTATAAGAATTACCTTACCCAACAGAGCAAGTGAAGATGGGTCGACAAAGAAGGGATATAAGAGCTCCAGACTAGGGAATTGAGGTAGAAGGGGTTTTCGAGCAATAAAAGCTAATATGTACTTTTTGTACCAAAATTTACTTCAAGACTGCATGGTCTTTTGATCAAAATGCTAGAAACAATTCCAAGTAAGCCACCAATTATTTGCAGTTTCTTCAATGATACCGCGGGGGGGGGGGGGGGGG